AGCAGGAGACATCCAACACCGAGAGCTCTTCCAACGACCAGTAACAGGATAAGCCATAAATATGCGCTCTGATTGGCAACTAGCAAACACAGCAAATAACCAATTATTCCAAATAGTTTACAGATTTTTGACTTTTTTGGTTTTGGCTTGGGTTAGCTTTGCTAACTTGTCCTTTGATGGATTATTTGTATTTCTTACCACCAAAGCATCACAAGCCAAAATAATGGTGTGAGTAACTATGTAGAAAGCACCTTATAGTGCTTCCCAGGGGAGAAGGGAGGCTCCTCATTGCATTTCACAGCTCAGAGGTGTCTGGGGGCTCCTCCTGAGCTCCTCTCCTCTGGGAGAAATGCTCATGAACTGCCCAACTCCTGGTACCGCTCTAGCAAGCCAAAGCTGGAGGAGAGGAGACCTTGCCAGCCCATTTCACAGCTGGGAATGTCGGACCTGCATGGGCATCGACCGTGCTGGGGGTCCTCTGCCAAGGGAAAGGTCTCCCACAAACCAGGGTCCCCCTGCTCCCATCACTGACATTGGGGCTTTCACTCTAACCCCACATTTCCAGTCGTCAGGACTCAAAAGCTCATTTGAACCTTTCAGAAGAAGGAGCCCATCTGCTCCTTCCATCCTGAGCCTGTGCAGAGTGGAGGAGACATGGACAAGGACACCCTGCCAGAGGGGATACAGTCCCCTGTTTGCAAAGGCATCCCGGTGGTGGCATCTATATGACATCTACTTGAGCTTTAGTCACAATTCGGGTGACTAAATATAGGCTGAGGTCTGAGCAAGTGTCTAGGGCTCTGCTCTGTCCTGCAGTCCCCTTCACTTTCCCAAATTCAGGGAAATTCGGTCACCCCTGAGGTCACCAGGATCTCAGGTCGGCTCTGGTGGACATGGTGCCAGAGGCACGGAGGGAGGTGGCATCTCTGTCCCCAGAGGGGACATTGGCCAAGCCCAGGTGGGGACAGGGTGCTGTGGGGCAGGACCTGAGACAGGAGCTGCTCTGCTTGATTTCTTGGGATGGTTTGACAGCTGGAAAAGGGGATTTATGGGACGACAAAGCGGAGATCTTGTGGATAATTACAGAGTGCTCCTCCCAGGCAGGGAGAGGGAAATGCCTCAGGACAAAGCTTATTTTGACATTTTAAGAAGTCACGAGTCTTTCAGCCTTTGAACATGATTGAACCACTTAAACTCAAGGGCTGAGCCAGGATTTCAGCGCGGAGGGAAGGGGACGGACCTGGAGCAGAGAGGTGGGTCTGCAAGTCAGCGGTGTTGCGAAATCCTCTCATTTTGCTGATGCCAAAGATTCTCAGGAGGGATGAGAGAGGGACAAAGGGCCAACTCCTGGCTTTGTCTAGGAGGACTTTGGCAAGAGCAGCAGCAGAGGAGTGGGACGAGAGGCCAGATGAGAAAGGGTTTATGGACTAGGGTATAAACAATTGCAGATTAAGTGCTTGCACTCGTGCAGGCTCCAGGAGGAAGGCAGAAAAGCCACACACCTGAGATGAAAGAGGAAAAAAAAAAAAAAAACCCTTATGGACTCCACCAAGGAGATGGGCAGTGATCTGCGAGCCCAGCTTTCCATGAGGGGCAAGCCCACCATCTCCCACCACGCTCCCCCTCCTCCAGGCCATTAACGCCACGGACGGAGGTAGAACCCAGCAAAGTTCAGGAGCTCCTTCACACGCTCCGCACTGGGCTGGAATTTTTTGGCTGTTAAAGCTTTTTCCTAATATTTAACCAGCTGCAGCCCCTACACCTCGTTCCATAGCTCCTGCTTTTGTCCAAAACTCCCCAGATATAAAGGAGAAGGAGACAGGCAAGAAGATGTGCATGGGCCATCTCGGTGATGCACTTTCCAAAAGGGGATGGTGTCAGCAGCTCTCCATGACATGGGGTTTACTAAATCTAATCCCAGCCTTGTAGGGTCCTGGTGAAGGCCAGGAGAACGGATTGCCTAATATTCCACTGCTTTTATTTTAAATTAATGATTTGCAGCTTTTTTTTTTTTCTAAATTTTATTTGAACGAAACCAAAAACATATTCATGTAAATTAAAGATGCTGATGAATGGAGGGAGAGGGGAGGCTATTCATGGAGCTTTTTTTTCCCTACTCCGCATCCCAGCACAGCCACCCATCTGTCTCCTCTGCGCGACAAAGGAAGCCACAGCAGTGAACAACTTCAGGGAAGTGGTGGAGTCACCATCCCTGGAGGGGTTCAAGAAACGCGTAGATGTGGTGCTTTGGGACATGGTTTAGTGGGTTGGATGGTGTTGGGTTGACGGTTGGACTTGATGATTCTTGAGGTCTTTTCCAACCTTAATGATTCTGTGATTCTATAAACGTTTGGTAGGTGCAAAGGATACAGGAGGTACTGGAGAGATGCACGTAGGGCCAACAAAACCCATATCTATACATTATGGAGACACAGGATGGATGCTAAACATGCCTACATCCCTTTACAAAGACCTAAAAAGGTGCTCCTCAGAGGCTTCTGCCTGCAAAAGCTAGAAATGCCATGAGAAGCTGCAACCCTTCTCTTAACTCCATGTCCTCAGCCCATGTCCTGTAACTCACGGGTTGGTATCGAGGGATCTAAGAGGGGTGAAGATCCCCAGCACTGCAACCCTGCTAAGGGTGACTCTAGGGCATGGAGAAGAACTGCTCCGATGGTGTCAGCCCTGAGAAAGCAAAGCAGCTTCACTGCTCTTCTTACAAAACCCAGGAACACCCCAACCTCTAATTTGCTTACAAAAAAGGCAAAAGGGAGCAAAAAGGCACTTTGCAAGAAGGGATCTGTCACTGCTCAGTGCTACCTGGCATCTCCCCATCCCCATGCTTCGAGGGCACCAGGCTGTACACCTGCAAGAACCAGGACTGTGCAAAGTCCTGCTGATGAGATGAAACCCTCCACCTCACGGAAGGCAAACACCTTCTGAGCTCAACTTACACCAACGTGATGCCTGGGACTTGTCACAGTCCCTGAGCAAGGACATGGAGGAGCACAGAAGTCCTATCAAGTCCTCAACCGTGCCACCGCAGCCACCCAGGACACATCATCTCCATGGAGCCACCAGGCTCTGCTGCCCTGGGAGGCTGTTGGGAAAACACCTGACCTCAAGCACATACATAATTCTGCCAGCTCCATGAGAGCAAGAGGGAGGAAGCTTCCCCATCCCTCCTCCCAGAACCAACCCCCTTTTCTTTGGCATGAAGGAAAATAACCACTGAGATGCACACACACCTGGAGCAAGATGAATTTTCCATTTCCCCCAGTGAGGGGGTCTTCCACCAAAAGAAATGGCTTGATTTTTGAAGAACTTTAAATATATACATACATGTACATATATAATTCAAAAAACCCATTAATCAAGCAAGTAAGTTAGAAATTAAGCAATACATACATGAGGCTGGACCCAAGAAGCTGGCATGTTAATTAATGCTGAGCTGGTCATGCCCTCCGCAAGCTACAAATTAAAATGATTGGTTATCAATGGGGTTAGAGAAACAATGTTTAACATACATCAGCAAAAGCACAATTTAGGAGAAATAAAATTAATGAATCCAGACAGTGCCACCTTCCCCCTCCCCAGGGTTATAAGGTTGAGGTCTCCCTGGACAAGGAGGCACCAGAGCAGGGTTTGGGCTATGGTTTTTGTTGATGGTCATCAAACGGGACTGGGTTGGAATGGTTACAGAGAATAAATGGGATATTAAAGGGTATTTCATGGGGGAAAGATGCCCCAAGGCTCAGTTCCCACCCTTGCAACTCTTGGAGGCTGGTGGGAGACAGCTCCTCTGTGAGTGTTTTATCCACGAGAAGAAGGAACAAATATCTACTCAACCCTTGGACCTCATGCTTGTCCTTCCTGATCTGCTCCCCACGGGGATGAGGACCCAGGAAGAGCCCGAAGAGCAAGGGGAGGCTGTGGGTGAGGAGCAGGCAGGAACACGGGCTGAGCCAGCAGCCACAGGCACGCGCTTGGCCCTTGCAGAACCCTTCTCCATGAGCATCTCCCAGAGAGGCCAATTGGAAGGGCTGAGCCCAGGAGCCCTTGCTACAGAAAAACGGCTTTTCCATGAGTTTTAAGAGTTTATTTTCTTCGCATTCAGTAACCATGATGTGTCCAGTCCATGTGCACACAGACTTGTTTTAAACAGACCTCGGGCTGAACTTCTCACCCCACTTGGATGAGATGATGGACAACACACTCAGCAACCTCAGAGCAGAGGGGCTGCGCGTCTGTTTGTTTTCTCTCTTTCAGATGAGGAAAACAAAGTGATCTTTTGTTCCAGTCATCCATCAGAGGAGGGACCAAAGCCAGGCTTGGCAAGGAAGGAGAAGGGGTTTGGAGGCACACAACGAAACACACCCATGCACACATGCACGGGAACAATCCCAGCTCCTGCTTCCAAGGTCACCACTGGAAGAGCAAGGTGTACGGAGGCTGCGGCCCCAGGCAAGGGCTCCTGGCCCAGAATCCATCCCCTTTCCCTGGGAGGAGGAGGATGGTCTCTGCAGACTGGGACTCCTCCTTCACCCTCCAAACCTGGCCCCAGCGGGAGGAGGAGTGGGGTGGAGGGATCCCGACGGCTGCAGGGTGTCAAGACCATGAACAAAAGTCACCCCAACCCAAATCTGACACCAGGAGAGGGTGGGCATGGGAGGAACAGCATCCAGAGCCAACACTTAGAGGTTGGGGAGGGAGATGGTGGGAATTTCGGGTTGGCTTTCCAGGAACAAGCTCCCTCCTCCTCCTCCTCCACTCCCCAAACAAAGGGCAAAAGAGAAACAAACAAACAAAAGAATCAATCTGGGGTCAAACTGAATAATTCAATTCATCGCAGGGTGTTTGGTTCATTAAATGTTTGTTTCAGTAAAGAAATGGCAAAGCCTTCCCCTTGGAAACCCCTGCAGCAGAGTGGTTTGGCTTCGCCACGTCCCTTTCCCCCTCTCATCCTTTCACCTCCAGGTTAAACTGTTCCCCAAGTTTGATCTGAATTTGGAGATGCTTTCAACAGGCTTGAAATTGCCCCAGGGAACAAAGTATTTATTGCAGAGCTGGAGTCCCTCCAGCTGCAAACCTCTGTCTCACGCCTTCCCCGAGGACCTCTGCAGCCCCCACACCGACCCACCACCCTGGGGAGCAGCCCCCCGAGCAGCAAATGCCGCGTACACCTGTATAGAGGGGGGTGTGTGTGTCCCCAGCCAGGGCTTTTGTCCCCAAAAGGGGAAGAGCTGAGCTGCTGCACCAGAACCCACCTTGGGAGCACTGCGGTAAACCCAGCTCGTTGCTTCTGCTGGTTGGGACTATTTTGGGGGAAGACAGTCCTGCTTTCAGGTCTGGGGGCATTGCTAGGGAAATATTTTTCTGACTCTTTCTGGACATTTAGAAAATTAAAATTACATACTGCAATACATGGCATCATTTATTTTGGTTAATGGAAAGTCAAACACGAGCAAGAGCTCCCCTCACTTCACTTTGCAACCTATGGCTGAGGGACCTCATTTGAGTGAGGGCAGATGTGCCCCCATGTACCTGCACACCCCTCACTCATTGCCACAACCCTGCTCTTCCCCACAGGCATCCTCAGAGGCCAGAAGGTCCTTCACCCCTGTCCTCTGCACCCATAAACACACTCCTGGATGTTTCGGTGATTGTTGGACCAAGCCTGTGGTCCATCCCCTCATGATGAGGTCAGCACAGAGGAACGGGGAGGTGGGCTGGGTTTTCCTACAGCCAGATTCACACCCCGGCCAACAGCTGCCTGGGGGGACAAGTATCAAGAAGGACAAGATAGCTGGGATCACTGCAGGCAACACTCAGGAAGGGCTTTACAACAGCCAGTCCAGGAGACAAGCCAGGACCAGCTGCCACCAACTTCTCCACCCCAACACCAACCAGGACCACGGCTTCCTCCCCACCAGGGATGCTCCATGCCCATGGCTCCAGCAGCACAAAGAGAGGGACCGACACTACAAGAAGATGCATCTTTACCCATCTGCAAGCCCAGCTTCCAGTGCTGAAAGGGGGCTCCAGGAGATATAGGGGCGGCTCTAGATCAGGGGGTGCAGGGACAGGACGAGGGGTAATGGTTCTAAGCTGCAAGAGGGGAGATTGAGCGGAGATATTGGGAAGAAATGTTTTCCTGTGAGGGTGGTGAGGCAGTGGCCCAGGTTGCCCAGAGAAGCTGTGGATGCCCCATCCCTGGAGGGGTTCAAGGCCAGGCTGGATGAGGCTTTGGGCAACCTGGGCTAGTGGGAGGTGTCCCTGCCCATGGCAGGGGGGGGCACTGGATGATCTCGAAGGTCCCTTCCAACCCAAACTGTTCTGGGATTCTGTGATTCTATGAGTAGTTCAAAAGGCAGATAGACAGACCTGGGTCTGGCATGCCATCCCAAGTGTCCACAGCTTCTGCAAGCAATGACATCACACTGACTTGAAAAAACGGCAAAAAGCAGAAAGTCTGGTTGGACAAGAGCATCCTGAGCAGGGCTTTGGAAAGGATGGGAATTGGAGGAGGGTCAGCAACTGCTGCTTTCCTTCTTCCCGTCACAACCTGCTCATGAGGAGCCCAAATGAGTGCAGCCACCTGAAACAGGTCCCCTTGGCCCTCGGTGCACCTCTCCCTCATGCCCCTCCTGCTGGGGTGGGAGGTGGTTGGGGGGGAGCAGGGCCAGATCCCGCAGTGCCTGCGGTGACGGGGTGCAGCTCCCCCGTGATCCACCACCACATCTGAGGAAGGGTGATGGAGGGTTGATGGAGGGGTAAATGGGATGATCCAGCACTGGGAATCAATAGGAAAACCCAACCAGCAGCCACAGGAATAGATTTGCTCTTCCAGGGCCATGGCCAGGGCCTGCTGCTGGCTGTACCCCAAACATGGTGACCTGATAAAGGTCAACCCAGATGGATACATCTTGGTTCTTTCGGTGCACATGTGCCTACATAGCACCTATGATCTCTGGCTTGGACACCCCATGCCACCAACAAGCACGTTCATTGTTAACACTGGTCAAAAGATGGGGAAAAAAGAAAGAAAAAAGCTTTGAAGAACAATTTTTCATTTTTTTTCCAAATTAACTGGAATAAAAAAGGTGGAAGCCAAAAGAAATTTGAAATTCTGCCATTTTTTGGAGCACAAACGTAAGAAGAGTGCGAGCCCTGGGTTTCTCCTTCCTGCCTTGCCCTCACCTCCAGGTGCGACAAAACCCCGGGGAAAGCAGGGAAACGGCCAGTGGGTCTCGGGGGGAAGCACTGAAAGCTCGCGAAGTGCTGCAAAATTAACACCATTGATTTTTCACCTTTAGAAAGTTACCAAAAAAAAAAGAAAAATCTGTTTAAAAATGCATTTTCATTTTAAAAAAGCCAACCATGGGCACAGCAGAGCCATGCACAGCACCTTGAGGTGCTGCCTCCATCCTGCCCATCCAGCGACGGCAGAGGGGATGGTGCAAACTGGGGGTCCCAGAAGCCTTAGAGCAGGAATCCCCAGTGCAACCTTGGCCAGGGACCTTCAGAACCAGTTCATGGGGAACCCCAGCTCCGCGCCAGCCCCATGCCGGGGTCCCGCGGTGGCCGCAGCACCCTCTCTGCTCCTACAGAGGATATTCGTGGGAGGAAATTTCCCTTCTTGCACGTCCCTCAAAAAAATAAATCAGCCAGTGAGTTAATAAAACACTGGCAAAGCAAAGCCGGGGAATTTCCATGAAGCAGAGTAAGAGGGTAATTAGCGACTGGGCTGGAAGCGCCCACCTCAACCTGCCAGAAAGCAAATTTGGGTCAAAACCCCCAGGTTTCCCAAGGGAATTGTATTTTCCTCTTGTTATGTCCACCAAAGTCCCAGGAGAAAGGAGCGGGAGCGACTGCGGGTCTGGAGGGACCTGGCAAAGGGACAGAAAAATCGGGGGTGGGAACTGGTGCTGGCAGGTGAAGGGCAAAGGAAAGAAAAGGTTTGGTAAAACCAGTTGTGTTTAAGAAATGGTTTTGTTGTCAGAGGGCTGGAGTGGAGACCGTCCTCCCGATGCTCTCAAAGAGCAGGATTGCACGCTGGACGCTCTGCAGGTTATTTCCTGCACAACACCGTTTTTACTGAATATTGACAAAAAAAAAAAAAAGGGGGGGGGGGGGAGAGTTTAGACTGTAGATTTCAGAATATGCCAAAAAAAAATCAGTCAAATCAAACTGAAAGTTGGGTAGATTTTTCTATTTTAAAAAATAAGAAATTACGTCTCTACAGCCTGCTGGAGTTGCAGACACAAAACCAGTCCACCCATCGCTGCCCCATCCGTGGCTGTGGGTCAGGAGGGGGCCAGAAAACCCCCCGGTTGGGGGTCTCAGCCCGCAGCTAAAGCAAAGGCAGAACTGTCCCCTCCACCACCTTGAATTCGGTCTGTTCCCACCACCATGGGAGCAGCAAACCCACCCTGGGGTGCTCTGACCCTTTCCTGGGGACCCGTCCCACCCCAGCTGTCCCCACAGAGGGTCTGGCAGCCCGGGGAGGGGGGCACTGGGGCTTCCTTGGTGGGACATCAGAGGTCAGGACCTGCACCCCAACCCTGCTCCTGCTTTATTCCCTGACCCCTCATTCTTCTCCCAAGTGCTTTCTGTGCCTAGAAAGGTTTTTTGTTTGGTTTGGTTTTTTTTAATTTGCAGAAGTGAAGGTTCCCGTTCCAAGGCTTGCTTTGGTGTGTTTTTCACAGACATGCTCCAGTTACGTTACCGATACAAGATGAAGCACAGTTGTAAATAATTAAGACAAATCTGCAAACGGCAAGAGAACAGAAAGCCCGTTGGGCTGTCAGAAGTATTTTCTCTCTCGAGTTGCTTCTCCCTTTCAACGACACTTGTTCGCTGGGGCCAATGTCTTCAGACTCCACTGCCCAGCTCCTAATCGACCCTGAAGCATCTCAGGACACAATCCCAGCCTCCCAGGGAGCTGAGCATACGAACATCCCACCTTGTGGCTGCTGGGGAACCCAAAAATCCACGTCCCACTGCAAGGGTGACCTCACCTGAGAGCACCCACCTGGATCCCATCAGGGCTTGGGACAGGTAGAGCAGGGCCAAGACTGCAGCAGGCTGGAGTCCCACACCCACAGCTTTTGCCGAGCACTGGCCAAAAATCTTGATTTTTCTTTTTTTTTTTTCCCTTAGCCCAAAGCCTGAAAGCCTTGAAACAGGCAGAGGGTTCAGCACGCAACGCGTGAAAAAGCATTGCCTGCTTGGAGGACTCGCATGGCACCGACCCAATGTGGACAACCCAGCACCAGGGATGGAGCACGGAGGGACGTGCAGCTCCAGCTGGGAATGGCCGGGGGACAGCCTGGGGACCCCAGCCTGACCCCCCTTGGGACACCACCACAGACAGCTCATGGCACAGATCCATGGGTCATAAAGTCCTCGTGAATAGAAACGTTGGGGTCCCACCAAGGAGATGAATAAAAAGCAGAAGTGTTGACACCAGAATTATACATCTGGCTTTTACAGATGATGAAGGCGAGGCAAGAGGCACAGCTGAGAGGCAGGTCTCTTACAGAAAGCTCAGGATTTTCTAGTTCAAGATACCACACAGCACCCCCAGACTTTAAAACAGGGAGGAAGGAAATGCCAGCACACGTTAAATACACCCCAGGGAACAGGAGACCGGGAAAAGCTCCACCAAACGCCTCCAACAACGCTTCCAGCTGCTCCTGAGCAGCCAGGGTCACCTGCATCGCACACACGTCAGCACCGGCACATCTCTGCCCCAAAGAGGACACGTCCGCTGGCAGAGAAACCCAAGGGCCACAGAAATGCGAAGCACCAGCACGGCCAGTGTCACCAGTACGGCCAGCCACCTCCGAGCTCTGCTCCAGGAAGGAGGAACAGCAATCCTGGTGGATTGCCCAGCCTACAAGGGACAGCTGAGACCCCTCAAACTCATGGCACATCACCAAAATTTTCTCTCTCTTGTCTCTCCCATAGAATTTGATGCCTCGTATTAAATGTAGGGCAGAAGGACACATGTGTGGTTGTTCGCTACGGCCTGGTGGGGGAGAGTGGGTGCAAACAGAGACAAAAGCTGGAAAAGGAAGGTTAAAACCAGACACAACCCTCTGTCAGAGATCTGCATTGCTCTCCACCCCGGCCCTGCACCCGCACAAGTTCCCCGACATCACACGAAGTTCAGAAACCCTTGTCCCACCACTGTGCTTTTTTCCCTACCTGGACAGGAATGAGAGGCTCTTTGTCATCGATGTCAATGAGGACGTCATCCCTGGGCGTGAGGCTCACGTCATCTGCAATCAGAGCAAGCACGAGCATCACCAGGACATCCAGCTGTTAGAAACCCCAAAGCCACCTTGGGATGAAGCTCCAGGAGCAACCTCAACCTTGCCCAGATCCTTCCCACCAGCCAAAGCTCACGTTCATGCGGGTTGAGCAGCTTGGCCAGGGACAGCCCAGCCCACCAACCAACCCCTTGGCACCTCCTGGGCTTTTTGTATCAGACCTACAGCTGGGCTGAGCTCAAACCAACGTATATGGTGACCCACAGCTCCTCCTGGAGCAGGGCAGGGGGGGTCAGCCAGCGTGGTCCGCGTGGCAGCACGTACCCGCGTGGTCCTGGGGACCGTCGGTCTCTTCTCGGTAGGGGTCACAGTAGAAGTCCTCCAAGGAGCGGATGGTGCACTGCCCCACCACGGGTCTTCGGCCGAATGGCCTGTTGTCAATGATTTTGACAATGATGGGGGGGCTGTAGAGGCTCTCCTTGGGTAGACGCTGCGGGAAGAGGGGAGAGAACACGTAACTACACAGGGCAGTGCTCTGCACCGAGGCTGGGCAGCACAGAATGAGCTTCACCATAGGATGTCTTTTGTTACGGGACCTCTGGAGGTCCTTCTCAACCCACTCTTCTATGACCCCATCAACCAGGTCCTCACCACTTCCATGTAGAGCACGCAGATGTCAAAGTTGGGGTTCTTCTTGACGTTCTTGATGACGCAGGACTGCACGAGCTGTCCTCCACACTCCACCAGCAAGCTGGGCGAGGTGACACTGGCCAGCTGGTAGCTCTTGAGGTTCCTCAGCCCCCAGGCCAGGATCTGAAGGGGAACAGACAGCAAAGGTCTGCCTCCAGGTCTCTCACTGAGCTTCTCAGTCAGTGACGGAGGTAAACCTGAAGGTTGGCCCACCACCAAGGAGAGCCGAATCAACCACGTAGAACAGCTGGTGCTGGGAGGACCCAGGTCGTACACAAGCTTTTCTCTGTATGCACCAAGATACCAGGTCCACAACTTCTCCCCATCACTCACCTCGATGGCCGTGCGCTGCAGGATGGGTTTGATTCCTTGGGGGACCATGTAGATGTTGGGCTCCCGCTGGGGTGGGGGGTACGGCAGGTCAGAGTCGGCAGACTGCAGGGAGCAGAGACGCGAAGGGCACCTCAGGTCATGCCACGAGGGGACACCAACCCCATCGCCTCCCCCGCCCCACTCCACATCCCCCCAGAGTCTCCCTCTCTCTGCAAAACTCATCTTCCCGCAGAAGTCCAGGACACCTAGACAGTGGGGGTGGATCAATGTCCTTGAAAACTGTTTCTGTCTTTAATCTGACCCTGGAAAAGATCAAACATCTACTGCTGAGAGCCATCCCTGAGCCCTTCCATGGGAACTAAGAGGGATCTGTCCCCCATCGAGGTGCAGCCTCCTTTAGGGGAGGAGGGGATGAAGGAGCACCTGTCCCACGCAAGGACCTCGGTGAGATGGTTAAACAGAGGGATGGGGAGAGGAGATGAAGCAGCAGCAGGGGGTTAATTAGTGATGTACAGCTCCTCGGGTTGGACAGAGTGAGATGCTGTGACCAGCAGCAGACAGATCAGAGGGGGCAGCACGGTGGGATGGAGGGTGGGCACCGCCTCCGGATGCAGGAGGGGGCTGTGGTTCATTCCTCGCATACAACAGCTCGGCTACAAACCTTGTCTGGTGGCTGCTAAGCTGCAGGGCAGAGGACAGGGCTCGGATAGAGCTGTCTATGTACCATGGATACAGAAGGAGATTTCCAAGTTCAGATGGCAAGGGAGGGATTCAAAATTTGCCTCCACAGAGGAGGAAAGCAGCGAGCCAGACTTCCCCGGCTGCCGGCAGCGGATGGGCTCTGAGCCCTCCCAGCGCTCAGGTTCTCCTTGACCTACATCTTCGAGTTCAGCGTCACCGACAAGGCAGGAATGAAAGCAAAACCTCTAAAAAGCAACCCTCAACCAAGGGCAGTTGGAACCAATTTAGGAGCCCAGCATTCTTTTCAGGCTGGAGTATTATTGCATTGAATGAAGTGTGTGCATGTATTTCAATTACAGGATTGGTTCAGGTTTATATATGTACGCCCATAAATGCTCTACAAAGGGATTTTTCATGGTGGTACGTTAGATAGACTAGACACTGAGATTTAATTTTCATTGGCATCACTGGTGGCTGCTGAATCAAGCTGCTTGGTAGCTGAAGATTTCTGGTAACTCCATTTCCAGGCAGCTGTCTGGGTTCCCCCGTGGGGCAGACGGTAAATTGGGGCAGGCAGTAAATCTGGGGCAGGCAGTGCCACCTCCCATGGTCCGTGCACTGGCAGAAATGGTTAGAGCTGATGGGGACAGGGACGGTTACTGGGAGGTGAGTGCTTAAGGAGGAGGAGAGGTGCAGAGCATCCCCAGCATCACTCCGGTGCTCAGCACTTCTGGTGACCTACTGACTTCCCCAGAGCCTTAAGTTCAGGCTCCTAAATGAGACGCTGCACCACCAACATGAGCTGAGGCTTCCTTGGGGTAGAGGGATAGACCCAAGGGCCCTTGAAGAGCCATCCTCAGCTTTCAGTTGCGGTCCACAGCACTTGGAGCACATCAAGGTGACTGAGCCAAGGAGAGCCTCAGTCTGTCCTTGTTTGGTGACACAAGTTCATTTCTAGCTTTAAATGTGCTTAAGTCGCATTCAAGTTGCAAAATAGAGCTGGAGAAGCCATCTAGCGCATCTCCAGACCCCAAGGCAGGTTCAAACCCCACACAGCCCCTCTGAGATGGCTGCACAGCTCCCAGAAAAGGAGTTTTTTTCCCTTACAGGGCACCTACATCTTCACCGATGCAGATACCATGGGCTGCATCTCCTTATTGCCATTGGACTCAAGCTTATTTCTGGCGAATTCTCTATGGGAAAAGGGGAAAGCCTCGGGGAAAGACCTCCTGCCTGCCCCACACCCTCCCCAGGTTCAACGGCAGCTTTGAAAGCCAACAGTGCAGGAGCTAACACTGCAATGTCTCCAGCTAGGACCAATTTCTAAGTCCTTCCCAGTCCCTGCTGCTCTCCTGGTTGTTTTGCAGTCATTCTCCTGGATGATGAGCATTAAATGTTTCACCAGATGGGACAGAAAGGAGCAGCAAGTCCTGAGGACGAGGCAGGAGCAGGGAGGGTTCAGGGTGGGAGAGGGGAAGAAGCGATTCCCAGACACAGCTCTCAAGCCAGACACAGCAGGCTGGATGGAGGAGACAGCCATGAGAGGTCTGTGGGGTCTGCTGGCAGCTGGGGTGGTTTGAAGGAGAAGTCAGAGGGCTCAGGGTGGAAGGGAGCCCTGGAGAGCATCTAGTCCAACCCTGACTTTAATACACGGTTGGATGAGAGATGGGTGAAAGTCAACACAGATCAGCCCACTCAAGAGGGGCTGGAAACGTCTCCCAGTTTGAGCACACCACTGGGCCATGTTGTTTCATGGGGGGGTTAAATCCTAGTGTTTGGAGGGGATCTAGCCCCAAAAGGCTGCTCCCATTTTCACCAAACGGGAAGGAAGTCTGGTGCCAGCCTGGTTGTTCAGATACATCACGAGGCTGAACGATGCTCGTACGAGCCAGGTTCTCCATTAGGGCCCATTATTGACCACTAAGGGCACTGGAGACCTCAGGCTGGCATCGCTGTCCTGGATGCAGCCTTCATGGGGTGGTCTGGATGGGGTTCCTGGGGGGCAGGTGGGGCAGGACCCCCATGTCTGAAGGAGCTGGTCTCTCTGAGAGCCTCTGTTGGGACTTGGGTTGGTTTCTGGGCAAAGGCAGAGGAAGAGAGGAGAGTGAAGTGTTTGAACATAAAAGGTACCCATTGGAGGAGCCCCTCGTAGAACAAGGCAGGGGTGCAGAGCTGTGGAGTGCCCCATCCAGAAATGGCAGTGGCAAGAAATGGAGGAGAAAGAGCAGAAATATGGTTATGTTTACGCGAGCTCATCCATCTCAGCCCACACGGAGCACAAAGATGAGCCCCACCGTCAGCAAAAGCTGCTTGGGTGGAAAAAACCCATCTTGCAAAATCTGTTTATCCCATCCAACCTGTCAAGGAAATGTGGCCAGGCTCTTTGCATGCCCCGGGTCCCTCCTAGCTCATCTCCCAGACTTTGGGGTAAACTTTTCCTAGGGCCACCACAACGCTCAAATAGACATGCCCCTTGTTCAGCTCCCTGCCCTGCGTTTTCCAAGGTACCAGCCCACCCTGGCACTGCTTAGTTCAGCTGATGATCTCCTCTGTTGGATGCACAAGGTCTGGGGAGCATCTCTGACAGGCTGTCCAAGCAGCAGCTTGGGATCCTGATAAGAATACTTCCTTCAGAGCAACCGGAACGGCCCAGCACATGCTCCAATTCATGGCAAATTCCCATGAAAAGCTGCAAACTTTCCAACTGGGATTTCAGCTGAGGTCCAGCCAAAGGCCAGCCCAGCATTTCGGCTTTCACATGCTTGCTTTGGGAGGGTTGAAGAGCAGTAGACCTCATGCACACACATCCCACAAAGGTTAAATATTACCCGACATGCCCTGCCATCGGGAACGTTTCCTGGGCTAAGCACAGAGCCCACCTACCCCGTCCTGTTGGTCAGCCCTCACGTTACTAAAACCCTGATGCTGTTGGCTTGACTCATCTGAAAAGAAGTGGCTGCCCCGTGGATGCACAATTTTAACAACCTCTGAGATGAAGACACAATGAAATCTTACAGACTCACCTCATCCAGGCTGGAGGACAGCTCGTTCTGGAGGAGAGAAGGAGAATACGGAGTTAGAACAATTCTCATCCATAAACCCATCCTAGGGCTTCTAATTGTAGCTGATAACGGAATAGAAAAAGGATGCTTTCCAAGTTTAGGGACATGGCTTAGTGGGTTAGGCGGTGTAGGGTTGACGGTTGGACTTGATGATCCTTGAGGTCTTTTCCAACCTTAATGATTCTGTTCTATCCTGTTCTATCCTATCCTACTCTATTCTATTCTGTGATTCCCTGCTCACCACACGCCCTGAGGCTGAAGGATAAATCAGTGCAGGTGACTTAGAACCATTGAAAATCCAGCCTTGGTTAACGCCTTTGCTCACGCGGGCTGCAGGGTTGGAAACACGGTGGAGCTGCTGGGATGCACAGCTCATCATGATGGGAACACTGGAATTATCGCAGGGCAGGAAGGTGATGGGGTGTTTGATACCTGAGGAATTCTATCTGGATACCTTTGCCCTGTCTTTGGGGTCAAAAGTGGGCTCCCCTCTCACTCCAGCTCTCTTTACCATCACCTGAAGGAAACCAGCATCTCTACACGGGGGTTCCTTTATCCTAAAATGCATCCCTGAGGCAGGAGGGACAAACTGCCCGCAGGGGCAGGGCTGCAGACAGACCCCACCGTGACCCTCTGTGAGAGCAGCTGATGGTGCTGGGACCCCACAGGCCTGCAAGGGCAGGGGAAGGGATGGTTTGAGGGGCTGCAAACAGGAGAAGGGCATTACCTCAAAGCCAGGGATGTGATGGACAGCAGGCTGTGGAGAAAATAAAGCACATAATTTCCATTTCTACTCCTGGTGCTAACTTAGCTTTATCTGGCAGAGGAACATCAGCCATCCCATAGCCACATGCTGCCCCCCTCCATGCCCAGCCCTGGGCTCCAAAAACCCTGGGGACGAGGGCAGGGCTCTCCCTGTGGCGACAAGGCACAAGCAGAGCCTGGAACCCACCTGGCTGCTTTCTGCCAGGTCCTTAGAGAGGACCCCCCCTTTCTGAGGTCTTCCCCACCCAGTTCAGTAACTTCTGAGAGGGGGGGCATTCCAGTCCATCCACTTCCACAGAATCATTGAATCCCGGAATGGTTTGGGTTGGGAGGGCCCTTCCAGCCCACCCAGTGCCCCCCCCTGCCATGGGCAGGGACACCTCCCACCAGCCCAGGTTGCCCAAAGCCTCATCCAGCCTGGCCTTGAACCCCTCCAGGGATGGGGCATCCACAGCTTCTCTGGGCACCCTGGGCCACTGCCTCACCCCCCACACAGGAAAACATCTTATCCCAAGATCTCATCTCAATCTCCCCTCT